ATGGTTGTAGCGGGGAGTGTGTACATACTCGACAACGTTAAGAATGCAAGAAGCAGGGTCTTCTTCACAATCGAGACTGGCATTGGTCTCCGCGACAGAAGTGGTGAGCGATGTAACCTTGGGCTCCTCAAGACTCAAGGGGCGTTCGAGACAAACGTTATTCAACTGATCAACAATGCGCGAAATGTTTGAATATGTCAAGGGCCATTCTTCTTTCATCGTCTTGGCCAAATTGCAAGCCGTCTTCCTTGCCACGCACGCCATGTCATCAGTCAAGCAGTCTTTTTGGCTGCTCTTTCAGCAGCTTCGGCTGAGAATCATTCGAGACATGGAGTTGCAACCAAGTAGTGTCCACAGCTTCCTCGCACGAAGTATCGCACAAGGCACTGAGCACCAAGGCCGCAAGTAGTAAATGGACATGTTTGTGCACACTCTCTCCGCGCTCTTTTGGCCCTTACGGCGCAGCATTCAAACGAGCGTTCTCGAGGCTGTACAGCCACTGCCAGAAAGGAAAGGTACGAAGAAGAACTGCAGCTCGAAGAAAGAAAGGAGTCGCCGAGTCGCCGAGCAGCCCTGCAGTAAAGAAGTACCGTCGTTTCCACATCCGCAGCGGGCGGGAGGGAGGGCCACAAAATCTGCAGCGCTCCGCCGTATGCAAAAACATGTGGAGCATGTTTGTGCACACTCTCTCCGCGCTCTTTTGGCCCTTACGGCGCAGCATTCAAACGAGCGTTCTCGAGGCTGTACAGCCACTGCCAGAAAGGAAAGGTACGAAGAAGAACTGCAGCTCGAAGAAAGAAAGGAGTCGCCGAGCAGCCCTGCAGTAAAGAAGTACCGTCGTTTCCACTCTAAGAATGCGGCCGCTGATGGCGTTGAGCAGCAACGCTGAAGGTGCTGCCCTCATGGCCGGAAGGCCCCATCACGGACTAGAGCCTGTCAAAAGGGCATCGTACAAATTGCTTGCTGCAGTAATCGCTCGCCGCGATTCTGTCGGGAGCCTCAGTATGATGCTATCAGCACCCACTTCCTGTAAGTAGTGCTGTAAAGTTTCCAGATTCACGAGTCTCATGCGCCAGAGAAGCGTGTGGATCTCAACGTTGGAGCGGTAAGCGAAAACTGCTCCGCCTGCACGAAGCGATGCGGGCGTGAGGCGAATGACGGCTGGTACTCGCAACGCCTCAAGCAGAACATCCCAACGACGGCGATATGCTGATGGACTGGCATGAAACAGTGGCACCCCGCGCTTCAATGAGCCAAACACCGATGCACAGAATCGCACGACCTGAGGATCCACAATCTTCGCGTGCTGGCTTCTACCGAGGCCGCGTCGTCTGGATTTCGGAGCACGCACTTTCAGGTAGATGGCCTCCGGAGCCTCTGCAATCAAGTCCTCTGGTAAGAGCAGATCGTCTCGAGCTGCCTGCAAGACTTCACCCGGTCGACAAATGCCAAAGAAAGCGAGCAGGGTGACTCCTGCCCACCTATACCACCGCCAACAAATAGCGACGGCAATCATCGCCCTGAGGACTCCAACCGGCATCGGACTTCGATGCTCGATCGGTTCCAGCTGTTCCCACTTGCTGATCAGCTGCCAGACGCGCCCGAAACTAGCCCTACGTCTAGGGTTGTCGCGCTGCAAGTAAGCGACCAATTGCCTGAAACTGTAAAGTGACTGCTTGGCGTAGTACAGATGGTGGCCAAAGCCGCAAACCAACTCAGCTAGGGTCAGGTCGCACTGGCACAACGATTCCCAGGCGTTGGCAGACAACTCCTGCAGACACCAAGCCTGGAACAAGGCGAACACACGCAGGCCAAGTTTCTCTGTGGCAGGCTCCACGAGGCAGACGTCTTCTAAGCGGATCCTGTCTCTGTACTTGAGGTCACGAGCGCGTCGTGGACCTGGGTTTTTGGCCTCGCCGATCCGCCGGTGCGTCTGTCGGGCCATCGCGGCTGCATTCAGCTGCCGCCGCTGTCCCAGGAAGCCTGCATCAACTGCCATGGCGTAGCCAAGCCACCAGGACAGTCGTCTAGGAAACGTCTGGGCAACCTTAGTCCAGCAGCAGTGACGACCAGGCGCGTGACCTTGAAGTCGACGGTGATTGTGTCCGCCCTGACAGAACATCCGAATGCCCCTCAAGTGCAGGTTGGTGAAGATCCTAGTTCTTTTCCGGAATGGAGCGTTGAATCGACACATGTCCACTGCGAAGCAAGATTCAGGGCTCTTCGGGTTCAGATTCGACAAGGCGGGGTGGTCCCAGAGGAAAGAATCGTAGGGGCTCTCCACCCAAAAATGTATGTTGAGCGTCAGACACAATTTGACAGTCTTCCCGATGAACTCAGCTTGTAGGTTCCCTTCCGCGACGCGTGCGCCGGCTGTCCCAGAAAGGCCGCTCAAACCTTCAGGCTGGGCAGCGCTTCGCCACGGAGGTCTCACTGCTCTTGAGAAACTCGAACTAGGCGGGGAAAATCCCAAACCTACCGCAGCTCCGGTGTTGACTAAACTGAAAACAAACTCCTGCACACGGACATCTCGGAGGTCCTGTTCGGACCCCTCCTCTATGTCGAATGCGAGCACCCATGTGCGCGCCTGCATTGCCAGAGCTTTTGCAGCGCCCTTTTGTCCAGAAAACAAGTCGAGACAACCGGCAAAGTCTGGAACCCAACGCTCTCCAACTGTCCAGTCGCGAGGGAGCACGTACCGCCAGCTGGGCACAGCTCCAAGCAACTCTTGAGCTGACCCGCTGAGCAAAGTTCTTCCAAGTTGCTTCGCGGAGGGTTCGGGTCCTACGCAACAGGGCTTAGGGTCGAGAGGCCTACAGGGTTCTTGGGCCCATGCCCTGGCTGGTTCATGCTCTCACGGGGTTCTGGCGTCCTCCTCGCTGACTGTTTTTGTCGGAGTTTACGGGTTCTTGCGTCCTCATCGCTGGCTGTCTTTGAACTTCAAGGGGTCCTGGCGTCCTCCCCGCTGGCTGTTTTTCCGTTCTTGCTTCACGCTCTCTAGTTAAAACAGCAGCTTCACGAAGTCGTCGGGGGCACGCGCTGACCTCCTCGTAGAGCTCGTCGAACGGCGGCAGTCCTGACAGCGTGTAGGGGTCAGTACCGTACTCCTGAAGCCACGAGTCGAAAGCGTCCAAGCATGGGAGCTCTTCCCACCAGGAAGGGAGAGGAAGTGTTGGTGAGTCCACGGCTCTTCCACGGGAAGGCCCGTCGGAAGAATTGAACTCTGTCGGTAAGAATCCAGCATTGGATTGTACATTGCACCCAAGATGCACTGCCAAGCTCTGCTGAAGCTCCTGATTCAAGCTGAAAGAAGAGGCCCTGCCTTTGACCCAGCAGCCTAAAGCGACCTGTGAGTCGCACAGAGAGAAGACTCTGAGGTTGAAGCCTTCTCTACTGGCTTCACTCTCCATCCTGACCAAGGCTCGTAACTCCAAGATGTTTATGTGTGTGGGCTTCGACACCCGTTGCTTCCAGACCTCAGTATACTGCAGCGCCCCACCGAGCACCATCCACAAAGGATGACTGGGCAAGACTTGCCCCATCGGGAGCTCTTCGGCAGGAGGCAGCAGTCCTTTAATCCGCTGCAACTTCCTCAATGGGCTGAGTAGCTTGACCCAAGCTCCCTTTCGCATTCTATGTCGGTGCACTTCACTCTGCAACGAAGGCGGCAAAGGGGCCCTTGTGATCCCGAGCCCGGTGTCGGAAGCATCACTGCAGTACACATATTCGCTATTCTTAGCTCGCAGATCAGTGGCTGCGAGAGGCGCCAACGTAATGCAAAGAATGAGTTCCTCCTTGAGCTGGGGGCTGAGCTTGAAAACGCTTTTTCTCGTCAAACCCCTTTGCAAAGGCTCATAGACGACCCCAAGCAAGCACAGAAGCCGGCGCCTAAACAAGAAAGTGGCAGTCCAACATCCCACTAGGATCTCAAGCAGTCCAGCACTGCAAACTCCGATCCTGAGGACCAGCTCGGTGGCGGCGGCGATGGGAATGACCCGACTCAAGCTAGCTCGGACCGAGCCAGTTTCCCCGTCCACCGTGGCCCCCCAGAAGTCTGCAACTGTTTGGCCGAAAAACGTTTTCTTTTCATGAGGAATGAGGCCTTTCTTCTTGTAGATCTCAAGCATCCTAGCGACATCCTGTGCCGACTGACACTGCTCAGCTGATAATAACGCTTCTCGTGTGATAATTTCCAAGTTGATCAAGTCATCGATTACAATGCCTGTCATCCGGGGTCCTCGAGGAA